AATTTTAATAATGTATGAATTATATATCAATGTAGTGGGTTAATAAAAACATATTTTATTTAACCCAATATAGCCAAAACATTTTATCATGTGATCAATAAAAAAATTATTAATGAGATACTTTACATTTCTTTTTCCATACTATAGGTTCAGTGTCTTATCCAAAATGCTCAGGACCAGAAGTGTTTTGGATTTTGGATTTTTTCAGATTTTGGAATGTTTGCATTGTACTTACCAGTTGAGCATCCCAGATCTGAAAATCTAAATCCAAAATGCTCCAATGAGCATTTCCTTTGAGTATCATGTTAGTGTTCAAAATGTTTCAGATTTTGGAGCATTTTGGATTTCATATTTTCAGATCTGGGATGCTCAATCTGTGTATCTTCAAAATCTGGTATGCATTTTACACTTACAGAGCATCTCAATTTGGACTAGCCGTATTTCAGGTGATCGATAGCAATACGTGGCTATTGACAACCACATTGACCCGCACTGCTCTAGAGCCAGATTGCCTGTGTATAAATCCCAGGTCTACCACTATACGACCTTGAGTAAGTTTCTTAATTATCCTGTGCCTCAGTTTCATCTGAAAAATAGGGATAATAATATTACCTACCTCTCAGAGTTGTGATGATTATATGAATGAATACATGTAAAACACTTAGAAGAGTGCCCAATACATTATAAAAGCTCAGTCACCATTAGCTATTGTCATTTATCCACTCCCCTACCATTGGACACTGAGATCATTTCCAATGTTTCCCTTAATAAATGGTACACCAATGAACAGTCTGGACAAAGTGGGACAGCAGGGCAGACTGGGCTGGATTAAGTCATGGAACAGGAAGGAGATTTAACCCTGGGCTTCCCTTTATTGCCAGGCTCCAGTTGCCATTGAGTGTGTGATAAGAATCAGCACTGAAATTTCTACTTCTATATTCCCAACAGATAAGTTCCAATCTTGGCAGCATTGGGAGACAGAGTCCGCACTGGGATGAGAGGACCCTCCCTCAGCACTTTGTGCTAAGTGGTACTAAAGAATTCACGAATCTGGCTGGTTCGAAGGTAGTGAGTTATTTCACTTGATTGTTCACAGTCAGTTACAGATCGAACTCCTTGTTAGTATTAAAAAAAAAAAAGAAAAAAAAATTCACGAATCCAGTGAACCAAATGCTTAAAGGAGAATAAAAAGGACCCAGAGGGCCCGCTGACATTCTTTGCATGGCGTAACCACGAGGGACAGTCTTCTTGGACAGCTTTCAGAAAGCTACAAAGTTTACATGGAACTGTGACACACAGGTAAAAAATGGAGCCATTAAAGCAGCTCTTTCTAATGTAAGTTTCCTTGGAAAAGCAACAGCATTTGGTTTGCAGGCTGGCACAAACTCAGCCGCTCAGGGTGCAAAGCCCAGCAAGTGCTGGTCCTCATAAAAGCACACAGGTGGCAGAGAGAACCCGCACTGCCCCTGCGCACCTGAAGTACTTGCCGCTCAGGGGCTCCAGGCCCTCAGCTGTCGCACAGTGCAGGCTGGTCTGCGCCCCCTCCCGCGCCGTCTTCACAAAGGGGGAGAAGAGACGCCAGAGCAGGCACAGCAGGAAGGAGTGCCGGATCAGCTCAGAGTTGACAATGCCTGGGTGCACTGCGTAGGTGGTGACTCCCGTGCCTAGGACAGAGAGGGCACAATGAGACCCGGGACACACTCTGAGCCCAGGAAAACAGCTCATCTCCTGCAGCAAAATATACAAGTGAGAAGAAGGGACACAGGAAATGTAACTCCAGGATTCAGTGGGTACCACCTCTGGCCAGGCGGAATTTGGTAAGTAATGAGTTGATCTCTTCCAGAAAGATCTATAGCCTTCTCAACCTTCTATGCTCCAAAAGGAGGTCCTGGTTCAAGATCCTTCTATTTCAATGTCACCTTTACATTGTGGCTTAAGTACTAATAGTAAAACAACAATACATGCAGTAAGTACTATTATCAATTGCTTAGAGGTAGCAATCTGATTGAAAGATAAGGGGTAGGACCTTGTTTTAAGCTGCATTTGCCTGGCAAGCATGTTTTATGAGGTGTAGATTGAAGGGTGTTGATGGAGATTTTGGAGGGTTAATATGCCTCCCAAGATACCTTTGGTGCCAAAACTGTTTTCAGTACTTATTATATGCAAAAGCTATGCTACATGCTTTACATGTATTATCCCATTTAATTCTTAAAGAGGCTTGTAAGGTAGACTATTAAGATGCCCAGCTGGGTGTGGTAGCTCATGCCTGTAATCCCAGTACTCCGGGAGGTGGAGGTGGGAGGATCACTTGAAGCCAGGAGTTGCAGGCCAGCCTAGGCAGCATAGTGAGACCCCATCTCTACAAAAAAATTTTAAAGACTAAATGGGTATGGTGGCTCACGCCTGTAATCCTAGCACTCTGGGAGGCCGAGGTGGGAGGATTGCTTGAGCTCAGGAGTTTGAGACCAGCCTGAGCAAGAGTGAGACCCAGACTCTACTAAAAATAGAAAAATTAGCCAGCTGTGGTGGTGCATGCCTATAGTCCCAGCTACTCGGGAGGCTGAGGCAGGAGGATCGCTTGAGCCCAGGAGTTTGAGGTTGCAGTGAGCTATAATGGCGCCACTGCACTCCAGCCTGGGCAACAGAGTGAGACCTCATCTCAAAAGAAAAAAAAGAAAGCAAGAAATAAAAAAAGATGGCCATTTATAGCTGAGGTAACCAAGTCATAGAAAGGTTAAGTAACCTGCCTAAGGTCATACCTAGCAGGCTGCAGGGCCAAGGTCTGACCCCAATGTAAGGCACATGGACTCCAGAGCTAGACTGTCTGGATTTGAATCCTGGCTCAGCTAGGAAACTTGCTTGGGCAAATTTCTTAATCTATCTGTGCCTGTCTCTTCATTTGTAGAGTAAGGAAAAATAATAGCACCCAACTCATAGGAATGTTGTAAATATTAAATGAGTTGATATGAATAGTGCATGGCACACATAAAACTCCCAATTATTATTGGAATTATTATTATTTATTTTTATAATTACCCTATCTGCTACCTTAGGCATTCTGATAGTAAAGAACATTGTTCCCAAACTCTGGCTTATTCACTATAGCAAATGGTCCCTTAGATTTGCAGATGTCAGAGCCAGCAGCTCATGCAATACTCCAGGGGAGCATAGTCATTAAGGATTAAGAGCTGGCCTTACCTGATTTTTACAGCTGAGGAGATAAAGTCAGGGGAGGTTAAAAGGACATGTCCACGTACACATGGGACCAGTATATGGTAGAGTGAGAACTTGTGCCCAGGGGTCCGAAATCCAGCGTTAGCTCCCTGACTCCAGGAAGTGGCAGCTCTGTAGCTCAGTTGACCACGTGGACTTAAGCAAATGGCACACTGGAGGAAGCACTCTGGATTTAAAGCACAGCATCCGTATTTCAGTTCTGACTCCTTCGTTTGCCATATAATCTTGTGCTGGCCATTTCCTTGGACCTCAGTTCTGAGCTATAAAATAGGAGTAATAATATCTGCTCTGCCTATTGCAGAGTTGTTGAGAAAATCAAATAAGATAACAGATGTGAGATAAAATGTGAAATAAAGGTAAGGTCACTTTATGAAGTTCTTGACCCCTATTCAATTTTAAGCTTCCTGGGGGTAAGGGCTCTGTTTTTATTCCATCTATAATCTCATTCTTCTTAGCGCACAGAGCTATTACTGAAATGTGCATGTTTGATAGCTTGACTTCAGAAGTTTCTATGAACTTCTAATCTGGTGTGAGGACCCTGTTTTTGCTATTTAACCCTGGCACTTTCTCCAGACTTACCTTTGAGTCTCTTGGCCAGCTCTCGAGTGAAGAGCATGTTGGCCAGTTTGCTGTGGCAATAGGCAAAGGTTCTGTTATAGTGCTTCTCACCGTGGAGGTCGTGGAAGCGAATCTTGCCAATATGGTGGGCCACCGAGGACAGGGTCACTATCCGTGCGGGAGCAGACTCCTTCAGCCGCTCCACAAGCAGGTAGGTGAGAAGGAAGTGGCCTGTGAGGGGAGCCAGCAGGGGAGATTGAAGAGTGGAATGGCAGCCCAGGCTCAGGGTATGAGAGCTGATGACAGGACTTCAGGACTTCTATCTTCCGGTGTGAACAAATTTTGATGCCATGAGTAACTCAGTGCTAATGGTCAGTTGGTCTGAGTTAGGGGATTCCTCAAAGCAAGAGCCAGAGCTAGGCTATAGGTAAGGTAATAATACTTAATCTATATTTATTTGTACCTCTCTTTTGCCCCCGTCAGGAGAAACACCTACCTCCTGGCTTCCAACTCCCTCTGGCCATGATTATACAACTGTGTGCCACGGTACACTCAAATACAGAAGGAAGGATGGAATCATCAGGGAAAATAACATTTCTCCTCTCTAGAGCCATCACCTTGAACTCTGAACCCCAGCCTGTTTTGTACCTCATATTCTCGAGGTTTGCCTACCTCTTGGCCCTTATATGGATGTGACCCCTCCAGCCAAACCCAAGTTCCTGCATACCCCCCAGGCCTGGCTCTGCCTGGCAAGGCTTGCACTGCCACTGCCCCATCCAAGAATGACATTCTTCTCCCTGGTAGCTCCTGAAATTTGGGGTTTCTTAATGGTATGGGCAGGCAGATCTCACTTTTTTAGGATGGTCAGGAGAGGGACAGTGAACAACAAGCCCATGTGTCCAGTCTGTTGGAATCCTAGGCTCTGTGAGGACCACTGGAGATTCTCGGCACTGGTACAGGGTCATCTTCCTACAGAGAACAGGTGGGGTGTGCCTCACTTTTCAGTCTTCCAAAGGTACTTACCTAGGTGGTTGACTCCTATGTGGGTTTCAAAGCCATCAGCTGTCTTGGAATATGGATACATCATCACTCCCGCATTGTTGATCAGAATATGAAGCTGCTTCTCCTCTACAGAGCACAACCAAGGAGGCCCTGTGGTTAGCAAGGAGTCCACTAGCTGCCTGTCATGGTCCTAAGTATTTGCCCCTTGCCTGTGTTTGATAGGTCTCTTTGTTGGGGCAAAGTTTTGATAAGAGTCACTCGCTCTGCTCCTTTCTTCTAAGACCAAGTAAGACAAGGTATTGCCTCAGCAGTCAATAACTATCCCTCATTTGGACCTATCTCAGTGATATTCAATAACCACTGTCACTGGGTTTCTAATTTTAGTTATTCATAACTTCCAGGACATTGTTCATTCATTTATTCAGCAAATGTGTACTGAATACCGACCCTGGGCCAGGCCCGCTCTGCTGGGCACTGGGAATCCAGTGGTAAAACAAGCCAGACACAGTCCCTGTCCCTCATGGATTTCATAATCCTTAGTAGAAGCTAGTTGTTCACCAAGACCCGGTAGAATTTTGGGAGCAGCACAACTTCATCTAGTGCCTATGGCCACAGAGCATTGATTCTCAGAATGAAAGAAGAGAGTGGCATCAGTGCAAGCCCAGACAGGGAGCTGACACCTCCAACATTCCCACTGCTGAGGCAAAAAGACGGAAGGATCCCGCCCAGCTTGTCCACCCACCACCTTCTTGCCAACTCCCCATCCTGCTGGTTCATGCAGCAGAACCCGTCCAGTGGGATCAACAATGGTTCTGATGTAAGGGCCATAGACAGTCTGGGGTGGGGCAGCCACTCCCATACCCAGTTTCCTGCTTTTCTAGCTACCCATCTGGGTCTCACCTGTCAGAAAGCCCTGAGCAAAGGCTCGGATGGATTTGGTGTCTGAAAGGTCCAGTTTCCTCACCAGCACCTGGGAGTTCTTTGTATCTGCTCGGATTTCACTGGCAGCAGACTCCCCCTTCAGTACATCTCGGCAGGCAATGTATACTCGGGCTCCTGGGGCCAAGACAAGAGGGGACAACGTGTTCAGATCCTAGGCTGAAAAAGAGGCAGAGTAGGTGAGTTTGGGGCTGGTGGACAGAGCTTTCTCCCAGCCATCCCTAAAGCAGTGGAGTGGCCCGGTTGCCACTTCAGGATTTTCACAGTGGTACTGCGAAGTCGTCTTGCTGTCAGCTTAACCCCAGGCTGGAAGCCCTGGTTTTATACTCTGCTATTTAATGGTGCTTAGTATCTCCTTTTAGAATAACTGACTTGACTAATATTATACACAGGCATCATTGTTTTCCTTATTTTATATAATAGGGAGGGAGCAGGGAAGAAGCAAGGTTTGTTGAAGGCCTCAGAGTAAGTTGGTGTCACAGTTGGACTTGAATCCCAGCTTCCTTGAATTCCTAGTCAGAGCCACCAAGCCCAGGAGGAAAGACAAGAGCCCTCAATGGGAAGGGCATGGGGCACGGCCCTATGGAGCCTGAAGCGGAAACACTTGCCTCTGCGAGCGAGCTCTCTGGCCGTCTCCTTGCCGATGCCCGTGTTGGCACCAGTGATCACCACCACCTTCCCAGGAAGCTGCACGTGTGTTCTACACACTCCACCAGCAAAGAACTTCCTATTGGCAAGGGAAACAAGAGCATCATGCACCATCCTTCCAACCCCACACTGAGATACATAAAATAAAGTCATCTAGACTCAAAGAATATCTTTAAGTTATAGTCAGGAGACCTGAAGAATTTAATCATTTTTCCACGGGGCAAGGTAGTCATGGGTTCATCAGCACCGGCTGGATAAGTCATTTGCTCAGAAGCCACAAATGATCATCTGGGCAGAGTAAGTGCTCTTGATCCAGAGACAATGGGCACCTTCCTTGTGGGATAACAAGGATATCCAGCTCTTATCTCTAGAGGTTCTTCCTCTAAGCCGCAGTCAGAACATATGTGTGATGAACATCAGTGGAATCAATGGATCTTCAGTAAGCAGCACTCTGGGGGCCGCATACACACATACTGCTCTCGAGCTGTCTCCCCAGTTTTAGAGAGTAGGGCGGTTCAGAGGCTTTCTGCAATCATATTAGGGATTTCACTCTGGCCAATGACACACAGAGAGAAAATCTCCCTTGTTCAGACCTCTGTGCAGAGAGCACCCTTTTACATGAAGTTGACTTCACAAATTCCAAAACAGAAGACCAGAGAGGGGCAGAGCTAACATTTCCTGCACGTCATCTGACTGCCAGAACTAGACGGGCACTTTTCATCTATAATTTATTTTAATTCTCTCAATCACTCCAGTACTGTTTCCACATTACAGCAGAGAAAAGTGAAGCTCAAAGAAGTTCAAGTCACTTCTAATGGTGGCAGAACTAGAATTTAAACCCAAGTCCCTGTGAAGGACCTAGAAAAACACTCTGTCCCTGATAAGTCCGTTTAACCTTCTTTATCGTCTGTAATTTTTCAGTTCTCCACTCAGAACACACATTTCTTTGACACCTCCAGAAAGCCCACAGCAAAAGAGCCATCGCAAAACATTACTCTCTTTGAGGGTCGTCTCAAGGGAAAGAGAGTTTGTTTCCTTCCCAATGTGCCCCTACTTAACGGTAAATCCTTTGGCAATGACCACCAATGACAACCCAGCCGGGCACCTTGAAAGGAAAGGAAGAGCTTTAGAGAAACCCAAGGGAATAGAGTGAAAGAGCAAGGACTTCCACCCGGGCTGTCTGTAGAACACAGTCATCCATGCAGCCTTCCACTAGCATCAGAATTCAACTCGGCCCCACCCCTGCCCAGCCCCAGGTGCTTCCTTCTCACTTTCCACCATGGAAACCCCTCCTTCCTTCCTGCTTTTTCTGCCCTAACTTTTTCTCCCTCAGCCTCCTTCCCTTTCTCTTCTTGCAGCAACTGAGAACCGGCTCCTAATGCAGGGCTTTGTAAACTATTGTTGTGAGTTGTTGAATTAAGACAAACCTGATGGATGGAGCCATCACATATAAGAAAGACAAGAAAGAAGTGAGCAATCCCAAGGTAACCAGCATCTTCCAACTTCTTTAGTTGCTGCTGCTTTTGGTGCTGCTCCAGCTACAGCCCCAACTCTGGCTCGGGCTCCGGCTCCTGGTCTAGCTCCAGCTCGTGGCTGCTTCTGCCGCTTCTTGCTCCTCTCGCTCCTGGGTGCTCAGCAACAGCCAGACTCTAAGCAGAGCCCAGAATCCTATTTAAATCCGAGAGCTGTCAGAGCACAGGCCTGCTGGGAGATGTAGTCCTGGCAGCGAGGAGACGGAGGAAAGGGTAGAAACTTACTCTTAGGCAAAGAGAATTCGGGGAAACTGAAGCAAATGTCCCCTAACTGCCCACCCTCAATCATTTCTCTTATATGGGGAATGTGTTCTCCCAACCACCCCCACCTCTACTCCTGCAAAAAAGAATAAGAATATAAACATAGAATATCTATAACTTTAGCAACAGACCATGATGCTTGAAATACAAGTGTGATTAAAATAGAAGAATGATCAACTCGGGTGGTGCAAAGGCAATACAAGTAACCTAAACATTTGTACCCCCATAAAATTTTGAAACAGAAAATAAAATAGAAGGATGAGGAAAAAAACCAGAAGAATGGAAAGAGAAGTTGGGAGAGTGGTTACCCTTAGTGAGAAGGGGCAGTGACTCGGAGGGGATCTGACTGAAGCTCCTGGGGTGCTGGGAGTGTTTTGTTCTTTGATCTGGGTACTAGCACACAGAAATGCTCACTTTGTGAGAATCTATTGAGTTATACACTTTTGTGCACTTTTCTGTATTTTATGTTATACATCAGTGAAGCTTTTTTTTTTTGTCTTTGAGACAGGGTCTTGCCCTGTTGCCCAGGCTATAGTGCAGTGGCATCATCGTAGCTCACCGCAACCTCAAACTCCTGGGCTCCAGCGATCCTCCTTCCTCAGCCTCCGGAGTAGCTGGAACTATAGACACACACCACCATGCCCAGCTAATTTTTGTATTTGTGTAGAGATGGGATCTCAGTATGTTCACTCAGGCTGGTCTCAAACTCCTGGCCTCAAGTGATCCTCCTGCCTCGGCCTCCCAAAGTGCTGGGATTACAGGCAAGAGCCACCACGCCCGGTCTTCAGTGGAGTTAACACACACATGCACATTACAAGGAAAGGGTATAGAGTTTAAGTGCATAGACTCTAGAGCTGGACTTCTTGGTTCAAATCCCAGATCGTCTACTTACAAGCTCCATGGCCCTGGGCAAGCTACTAAACCTTTTCATTAATTCAGTTTCCTCACTTTACAATGGGCATGATATATATATATATACCGATTTATTTATTTATTTTTTTTTTTTTTGAGACAGAGTTTCACTCTGTTGCCCGGGCTAGAGTGCCATGGCGTCATCTTAGCTCACAGCAACCTCAAACTCCTGGGCTCAAGCGATCCTCCTGCCTCAGCCTCCCGAGTATCTGGGACTACAGGCATGCACCACCATGCCCGGCTAGTTTTTTCTACATATTTTTGGTTGTCCAATTAATTTCTTTCTATTTTTAGTAGAAACGGGGTCTCGCTCTTGCTCAGGCTGCTTTCGAACTCCTGAGCTCAAACAATCTGCCCGCCTCGGCCTCCCAGAGAGCTAGGATTACAGGCGTGAGCCACCGCGCCCGGCCTATACTGATTTATTCTAAGTATTGAATTATTAAGTAAGAAGAAAATTTGAGATAGAAACTAACATATACTAAACACTGTATAGGAGCCAGCTGTTGTGGTTAGCTGTATCGATTCCTTTCTCCCTTGCTATCTCACTTGCTTTACTCAAGGGTTTGGTGTAGAAAAGGGAGAGATGATGAATGTGAGTGAAGTTTCAGTTGAACACTATTAAAGATGAGGTGAAACGCACACACACAAAGCTAGCAGAAACTCTCAGAGCCTCTGGATGTGTGTGAGAGGGTAGGAGGAGGGTAAGTGGGGGTTCATTGCCCTTGTTCACTCAGCCCTTGTCCTCCTGGAAAAGAGGACAGGCAAGGAGCTGGGGCAGGACCCCAGGAATCATGCCCCAGTTCTGTTCCTTCCTGTGAAGCCAGAGAAGCCTCCAGGAAGATTCATGCATGAAAGAAAACTCCTGGGCCAGGTGGTGACTCCCTCCTTCATAAGTTCATCCTCTCCACATACACTTACTGAGTGCTTCTCAGTGCCAGGCATTGTACCAAGTACTAGAAAGACACAGTTTCTGTCCCTTGGGAAGCCATGGACCTGGCCATCAGAACACGGAATGATCAGATAATTTACAGGGGGAACTTTTCTTTTTTTTTTTTTTAACCCCTCGCACCGCCCCCCCGCCCCCGGGAAACTTTTCTTGACTCAAATCCAAGATCTCCTGCATTTATGAAGTTGGTGCTCAACTTATCTTGATTTTGTCTGGGAGGTGGAGAGTCCTAAAGAACAGCATACAGTTCTCTGGAAAGGAGATGTTAGAAGGAATATAAGGCATCTAGAATTGTGAAAATATACAAATAGCTTCCTAAAAACAAGTGTTAAATTTTATAATTCGAAGACCACCATCAGATTATTGATTAGTTGTGCCAAAATGTTAAACCATACAACCAAGCTATAATAATTTAAACAATTTAGTACTGGTAGGCGAACAGACAGACAAATAAATAGAACAGAATGGAGGCTGGTCTTGGTGGCTCATGCATGTAATCCTAGCACTTTAGGAGGTAGAGGTGGGTGGACCGCTTGAGGCCAGGAGTTCAAGACCAGCCTCAGTAACATGGCAAGACCCTTCTCTACAAAAAATAAAAAAAATTAGCCAGGCATGGTGGTGCACATCTGTAGTCCCAGCTACTCAGGAGGCTGAGGCAGGAGGATCGCTTAAGCCCAGGCATGTGAGGTTGCTGTGAGCTAGGCTGACACCATTGTACTCCAGCCTGGGTGACAGAGTGAGGCCTTGTCTCTAAAAAAAGGAAAAAGAACAGAATGGAAAGGCAAGAAATAAACCCAAATACACTTGGGAATTTAGATATGATAAACTTGCTATTTTAAATAAATAGGGGGAGATGATTTATTTAATAAAATATTGTAACAGGTATCCAGCTGGGAAAAAGTAAACTTGGTCCTTGCAAAATTCTAGTAGACCAAAGACATAAGTATGAAAAGTGAAACTGTTAAACTATAAGAAGAACCATCAAACAAATGTTTAAACAATTTTAGAGTGGTAAGATCTTTCTAGTAAGACAAGAAAACCAGAAATCAAAAAATAAAGTTAAAAGAAAATCTTCATGACAAAAACTACTACACGCAAGGCAAGATGAATGAGAAACCGGGGGGGAAATATTCACAGCATGTGTCATAGACAGAGTCTGATCGATTTAGTATATAAAAAACTCTTACAAATCAATAAGAAAAAGATTAACAACCCAATTGAAATAACAGTTTACAGAAAAGACAAATGCAAATGGGTCTTCAACCTCACTCATGAAAGATGCAAATTAGAATTAAATCTAAATGATTAAAATTAAAATTATTTCCTGGCAAGGGTGTGAAGAAATAACACTGACACACTGCTAGTGACGCACTGTGGGAGTCGGTCGTCACAACCTCCGCAAAAGGAAGTGTGGGAAGATCTGATAAAGCTCCGCACATACTCGTTGACCCCGGCATTCGACTTCCGTGTATTCATAAGGTTATTGTTGAATCACTGTGTATAACAGCAAAGGTTTGAAAATCTCCTAAGTGTCCATCAAAAGTACAGCCACACCATAGATACTATACAGCTATGAAAAAGAATAAATAATTTTAAACATACTGATATGGAATGATCTCTGAGATATATTAGGTGAAAAAAGGAGCAGAACAGTGTTTATAACACGCTACCATTTGTTTAAAAAGCAGAGGGGATATAGGGACATGTTAGTATATGCATAGAATATCTCAGAAAAGATAACAAGAAGTGAGTTAACAATGATTGCTTCTAGGGAGGCAGGAGTGGGTGCAGGCTTTTCACTGAATGTACCGTTCTGTACCTTGTGAACCTATAGCCTATGGTCTATTAAAACTTAAAGTTTTCAGCTAAAAAAAACAAACAAACAAACCCTGATAACCTACAGGTCATATTTGGAAGGCTTCCAAATTAACCACCTGGGGAAGGTGGTGTTATTCACGGCTTATACCCTGTCCCTGAGTGAAAACTCTTATTGTGAATTCCTGAAAATCTTGTGTCCTCAAACTGTTGACATAATGATTATACTGATAAATACATATTGTACTGACATTGGAAAGGACACTGACTTGTTTCTAAATCATGAGCTTTTACCGATTGTCTTGCCCATTAAAACATTTTAGCCTATATGTTGTTATCTCTAGCCAATGATTGTAACCTCTTATTACACCCTCCAATGAAAAAGGACAACCTGATAAGAAGAGTCCCCCTCCCTTCTCCTAAACTTTCTTATAAAAGCATTCCAACTTGTAATAGACTTTGGAACACATCCAACTAGATTGGTATGTCTTCCTGGGCCGATCCTCACATTTGACTTTCAATAAATGTTTATTAAATTATTTCTGCCTAACCTGAGCAACATAGTGAGACCCTATCGCTCCAAAAAATACAAAAATTAGCTAGGTGTGGTAATAGGCATCTGTAGTCCCAGCTATTAGGAAGGCTGAGGCAGGAGGAGCACTTGAGCCCAGGAGTTTGAGGTTGCAGTGAGCTATGATGATGCCACTGACTGCACTCCAGCCTGGGCAACAGAGCGAGACCCTATCTTGAAAAAAAAAAAAAATTCTGCATCAACAGCCTTAATTTTGGTCAAGAACTCATATCACTTCAAAACAATTTATGTGTTTATTTTCGTTAAATTAATCATTCAATGTCACAAAATAAAGCTATTTCTCAAACTGGTATGGAGATATTCTTAAAAGTGTTTTATCACCCAAGCAAAGCCATCATCATCACCCATTTCATCGTTGTAATCAACATCAAAAAGGCCATGGACCAACCTGATATCTGCTTTTTAGGAACTTTCAACCTGAGACATAGATATTTCAT